TAAAGGGATGTCCAGTTGCCTACAGATGGGCTTTGGGTTCCCAATCTGCACTCCCCCTCATGCACAATGATACGATTTTTTGTTCTTTGATGCCTCATGCCTGATCCCATCGACACCTCATGATCACACAGGCAGGTGTGCTTCTTCCATGTGGGTTTTGTTGCGCTGAGCTAGATGGCCACTTGTTTACCTTTAAGACCCCAGACACTATATCTTTTGATAGCCGGGCACCATCACCTTTCTTCACCACATTTGCTTATGTACCCATTTGTCTTCAGTGATCATGTCGGGAAGGTGAACATCATGGAATGCCAGTTTAATAGAACAAAGTGTTCGTGCATTGAGGGAGTACTTGAGTGGAGGCCCAGTGTCCCAGATGGCTATATTAATGAGATAACATGGTCGAGTCGTGCAAACTATTTGCCGGTAGCGACTGACCTAAAATGTTGGTGGTTCCAAACCATCCAGAGTAAAGGTTCCACAGAAGAAAGTTAAAGAACCCTAAAAACCCAAACCCACTGCCATTGAGTGGATGCCAAAGCAGAGAGTATCTACCTAGGGCTTCTGAGGCTGTAAATCATCACTGGAGCGGATAGTCTCATCTTCCTCCCATGGAGCTCCTAGTGAGTGTGAACCACCAACCTGGAAGTTACCCACAGATAGAAACCACAAAAAGTGAAGGGAGCATTTCTACTGCGAAACACATGAGGTCAGATGACTGGGCGTCACTGTCAGGAAAGCAGGTCTGTTGTTGTTCTACAGAAAGACTCCCATTTGACCTTTGAGCTGTGTGACTCAGTTCTACAGATGACCCAAATAGGCTGCAGACGTTCCTCAGAATACTTACCGGAACTCAAACGTGTGCTCTGGTCAGGCACTTTTCAGAAACGCCGGGTGAAATCATAATTATTGAAAGGGCTGTTGGAGACTCAGTATGCCAGGGGTGCTTTGCCACCCTGAGTGTGCAGTAGCATTTTTCAGGCTCACCTGATCTTGCAAAAGTTTATTATTTTTCCAAACAGAGCTTTTCTAGGGAGCGTTGTCCTCAGATAATGCTTGGGGAATATTCTGATCTAGAATATGCCACCGTTTAACCTCACTGCATATTTAGTTAGCTGGCTTTAAATTAAGAAAGTTTTGTGCCGCTTGTAAATGCCAGTCTTTTAAAATGTTTCTAACTCAGCACCAGCTAGCTTGGAAACACAGAAACTAAACTAAGATGGTAAGATGGGTCTGTGTGCGCCTCATGCTAATAAGCCAGGCTGCAAAGCATTTCCACTTTCAAAGTTTGGTGGGGAGACGCTTCATCCATTTGAGGATGAATTTCACTGGGAAAGCACTTTTTTAAAAGAGTAAATAGCAATCTCCGTCTGCCTGTTGAAGGAGCAATGATTTCAGAGATCCTTTGATCCCCATTGACTTAATGGTGCCGTTATTAGCAAGTGAAAAGAAACCCCAGGATTTGGTAAATAGCTCCCCCCCTCACTCACGTTAATCTCATTTTACAAAATTATGCTGAGAGTAATGAGGGAACAGCATAGACCTGGCAGTGTAACGATCATTGAATGCGCCCTTCATGATTAAGGTTAAAATAGCCAATACTTGAATGATTTAACCATTTTGTCCAAATGCTCAATATGGAAAAACCATAATGAAGATAAATAATTCTTCTTTGTCAAGACTTTCTATGGACTTAAAATTCCCGAAGAATCTCTGTTGGGTGCTATGCCTACACATTGATTTGACTTTAAAGCAAATACAGAAAAGATAAGTTTAGTTTTAAAAACTAATCAAAATCAGGGCAGCTATTTCCGTTGTAACTAAAGTAATGCCCACATCTAGATTCCTCATAGACTGAGGCTAGGAATCTTTTAGAATCTAGGGTTCCCTTTGAAGTTAGATTTCTGAAATGAAAAGCAAAATAAGAATTGGATGTGCTTGGTGCCATTTAAATTTGTTTATTTTTCAAGCCTGTGCCTCTTTTTGGCTATGCGTGTTCATAGTTTATACAACCATCTGGAAGCTGTTGGCTGTTTTTTATTGCTTCCCCAGTGTTTGGGAACTATGAATGAAGGGTAGAAGGGATAGCTATTGTTGGTGAATGGCTTTCCTGCGTCTCCTCATTGAAGACTCATGTCAGAATAGAGATGAGCTCCAAAGAGTTTTCAGTGACTGATTTTTGGGAAGTAGATCTCCAGAACTTTCTTACAAGTTGCCTCTGGGTAGACTTTAATATCCAACTTTTTGGTTAATAGCAGAGCACCTTAACCTTTTGCACCTCAGAGACTCTGGTTTTACTACTCTCGTGCATATTTAATATTTCCCCTAGCTCTTCCCTACAAGACTATATTGACAGTGCCTCCTGGTTCTCCAGATGAATATGCCTCTCTTCTAGAAAGCAGATTGGTAGCAGGCAAGCCATTAAGCCAGTCCTTTTGTGACCGCCTACCATGTTAGGACCTGTGGTGGTGTACTGGATGACGCGCTGGCTGCGAACCTCAAGGTCAGCAGCTTGAGCGTGTCAGCTAGCTGCTCCACGGGAGAAAGATGCGGTTTCCCACGCCTGTCAAGATTTACAGTCTGGGAAACAGGCAGTTCTGCTCTGTTCTCTGAGTCAGAATTGACTCCATGAAGGGGCGTTCGGACTTTTAGATCTCTAATTGGTGTCACCCCCACCCCAAGGGGCCATGCTTAATTTTTGTCTGCTGGTGAAGTGTGTGGATCATGTGTGTGCATATCTCTGAAAGCAATCAATGGGATATTTCAGCCTCTGTCATGTTACAGAACATGTCCAATTTCAGCAGCTTTCTATAAGGCAGCACGCAGCTGTGTGCTCTTTTTATGTACTTTAAAGAAATAGTCTACTTGAAATTTCACAAATGGCACTTAGGGAGTTATAAACACTTCCCTCCTTTTTGTGTGGTGGGACTAAAATGACTCAGAATTACAATTTTTAATTTGTTTTCCAATTTTAAAACAAATGAGCACTCAAAGACAGATGAAAGCATGAGCATCCGCTTTATTCATTATCTGCATAGATTGGTCAAATAGATGTTCTTATGGGAATCAGGAGAGTGGGGGTTCTTTTATTAGGATCATCTTTCCTTTGGATTACTCTGTAACTCTGCGTCACTATAGTATATATACATCACTATACATCAGTTAAAAAAAATCTCTGAGTTGGTGATGTTATCATTGTTGGAATATAATCAATATAAACACAACTTCTTAAACAAAAGGATGATGAATTCTACAAATGCTAAGCAGGTGTAATTACTATTTCTGATTCTGACACTTATAAAAACATTTATCAAATTCATATAGCTTATGCTATATTCGAGTGTTAACTAAGAGTTTAGAACATGTTAAACGGTTTCAGAATTCAATCGTGGATTCTGAGGATTTCCTAAGAGTAATGATCTATCCTGATAAAGATCATCAGTATGGGTTTGCGCACCCTTGTTTTTTGCAAGTTGTATTTTGAAATATTTTTCCTTCCAAATTCCAGATGTAACCTCCCCCCAACAACAGGAAATATAAGTAAAGATGTTGGCAGCAAAACAAATCTTGTGACTGTGAATCCCAGTATCATAGCCCTGAAGTAAGTATCTCCGAGGTGCATAACTACTCAGATGTTTCTGTTGGTTATCATTGGTGAGCATGTTTCACAAGGACCTCTGGTGGCACAAAGGTTAAGTAGCTGTCTGTTTGAATACACCCAGACACGCCCAGGAAGAAGCAGCTGGCAATCGCCCCCGTATAGATTACACAACACAACACAACACAACACAAGCCCAATGCGTCCACCCTCCTCTCACATGGGCTTTATGGCCATAGCCTCTAACAATGCAGCAGCATGTTCCCTAGCCTGAGCCCTAAGTTTACTTCCGAGACTGACTTACAGTACAGGTGGAGGGCCTTTTGAGAAAATAGTTAAGACTGTGTTAGCATTTTTGATGTTCTGTCAACACCGTGATGCATTTCAGGTGTGAATTTGCAGTCCTTCTGAAAAAATTGTTAATAAAATGAGAACTTATCTCTTCTTTCTTAATAATTATATAGGTATAATTAGATAGTATATAGGTACTATTTTTGATTTTTTTTAAGAATCTTAGTATTATTCTTTTGTCATGCTGGCATTTTCTTGGAGAATAAAACCTTAGTCACTTTAGAAACTTCAGAGAGAAAACTCAATAAGCCTGACTAAATAGTTTCCCCTTTGGGAAGTTTCTAACACTGCATTTTGTCAGATATCCCTTTGGATAGTTTATTAGCAAAAAATCCCGTGTGCTGTATTTTCTAATGTGATTATTACATGCAGTGGTACAATACTACTACTAATAGTTCATTGATTAGTGAAACTCCCACAATGATTTTACTTGAAATGACTGGTAATGGAACATGCTCCATTAATGATTCTAGTAGTTCTTGAGAAAATAAATGAAATGTTGTGCCAGCTTCTTCCCCAAAGCTTCCTTTTTAAGCACATACTACAGTGCTTTTGAGTATATTTACTAAATCCATCCACTAACTCTGAGTTGTTTCGGACTCATAGCTACTACAACGTTTCAGAGGCTGTCAATCGTTCTGGGAACAAACAGCCTCAAGTCGCTCCTGGGGAGCTGCTGCGGGGCTTGAACTGCCTACCTTGTGGTTAGTGTGGTAGTGACTTGTGTGTTGGCAAAGTATATTGAAAGCGCCCCCGGCACTTCCAGAAAGACAAACCGACCTGTCGTGGAAGAAGTATGGCCGGAGTGCTCTTTGGGGGCGAGGATGGTGAGCCTTTATCTGACATACTTTGGATATGTTTTCAGGAAGGACTAGTCTCTCAAGGAGGACATCATGTTCTGTACAGTAGCGCTGTCCCTCACTGCCAGTGAGTTGGTGCCAACTCACAGTGACCTGATAGGACAGAGGAAGAACTGCCCCTGTGGGTTCCAGAGACTCAAATGGTCTAAAGCAGTAGAGAGCCCCATCTTTCTCCCGAGGAGCGGCTGCTGATATCGAACTGCGGCGCTTCGGGACTGCAGCCCCATGTGTAACCACGATGCCGCCAGTACAGTAGTGGGCTGATGTGAACGAGGAAGATCCTTGGCAAGATGAATTGACACTGCGGTTGCAACAATGGGCTCAAACTTAACAACGATTCAGATGGAGCAGGACCAGGCAGTGTTTTGCTCTGTTGTACCGCAGGTCACTATCAGTCAGATGTGACTCGATGGCTGTTGATTACAACAAGGTATAACATAAATCCTATGTATAAAGATCTCCTACATAATGCATGGAGGAAATTTAAGCTTCTAAATATTTTCGCATCAACATGGTTTGGGTTGTCTGCAGGAAATGTTACTTTGCAGTGACATGTATGAACAGTATACACATCATAGACATAGTTCCATTAATTTTTAAATACCAGTATGTTTTTCAACCAGTATGTTGAGATATTATCATGATTACTTTGGAAATATATTTCAATATCACACAACAAACCTTAGGGGCGAAAATTACTGAGTTGGAAAATAACATGACAATAGAAATGGCTGGCCCTTCATAAGGGTACAAAAGTAGAAATTGAAAGCCTAGATGTACCAATGAAGAGAGATGAAAGGTCATCTCGTGATATTTACATGTTGCTTACATGAATGAGGAGCCTTGGTGGCACAGAGGTAAGGCATTGGGCTGCTACCCACAATGCCAGTCATTTGAAGCCATCAGCCGATTCATGGAAGAAAGGTGAGATTCCCTACTTCTGTGAAGAGTTACAGTCTTAGAAACCCCCGGGGGCAGTTCTAGCCCCACCACCCCCCCACCATGTCTAGAATCGCTGAGTCAGCATCAACTTGATGGCAATGAGTTCAGTGTGTGCAGTCTTACTTGAATGAATTTCTCTGAATCCACAGTGCGTCTCTTTTGTGTATGGTAGTATGAGCGATTCAGTGTTTTGACCAGTGGTAAATCCAGCCTCATCTTACCAAAGTGGCTACTTGGATCATAATTGTTTTCATCATTATTATTTTTAATTTGGCAGATATAGGAACTTAAAGGACAAGAAAGCAGAATTTCTGGAGGATATTGAGACCTACGGCGATGCGTTCCTTCTTCTACCAGCATTCTCCTTCCGGGCCAACACCGCTGCCTCGTTGCGAGTGCACCTCACACTGAATCAGTCTAAAGCAAGGCAGAAGGTTCTGTTTTTCCATCCCATGTACCTGAAACAGCTGGCCCGCTTCTGGAGAACTAAAGGGGTGACAGAATACCGCCTGTCCTCGGGCTTGATGATCACCAGTGTTGCAATGGAACTGTGTAAACATGTGAAGCTGTATGGGTTTTGGCCCTTCTCCAAAACTGTGGAAGATATACCTGTGAACCACCACTACTACGACAACAAGCTGCCTAAACGAAATTTCCATGAGATGCCCCAAGAATACAACCAAATTCTCCAACTTTATGTGAAAGGAATACTCAATTTACAGTTTAGAAAATGTGAAATAGCCTAAGTGAAGTGTCTTAAGAAACAAGATTAAAAATATAGATATATTATATATCATGCAATGAGTGACACTTCCCCAAACTCAAGGAAGTGGTTGTAGAATTTAACACCAAGGGCCCCAAACCTTGGTTTGATTGGCTTAGTTTGCAATCTAAGCAAGCCATCGAATTGTTCTGATCTTCCGTTTCTTTTCCTATAAAATGAGGACTCTGGTATCTAACTCATACAGATGTGACCATGTATGAAAATTCTTAATATAGTGTTTGGCATGAGTTAGACACTCAATGAGTGAGACACTCAATGAATACTTTGTTACTACATCCAGTCTCTCTTACCTGGAGCTTACTTCATTGGTTTAAAAATATAGAGAGATTATTGAACACTACTCCATGCCAGGCCCTCAACCGGGCTCTGTAAATGAGATATGGTGATGATGAATCTGTAATTATGTCTCACAGAACGATAAGGACAAGTATCTCATTCATCACTTATGATATACCGATGAAACTGTTATAATTACAAAAAAATTACAAGAAAATATACTATGAGAAACCAAGGCAGGAATAATTTATCTCCTTCAGGGGAAGATAGGGATACTCTATCTAGAGAAGAGGTGGTTCTTGAGTTAAACCAAGAAAATGAATAGATTTTACCAAAAAAGAAGAATTTAGGTAGAGGAAAAAGGATAATGGGGGTGGGAGGGGACCAAAAACCTCTCCTCTTGATTCTGCTCTATTGAAATGAAGATATTTGAAGGTGAATCGTGGTCTGCCAAGTGAAGGTAGGGTATAGAGTGTGTGGATGATGGTTGCGCCCCCTATCTGTGTCCTGGGAATAATACCAGAGATATTTACCAAACTTAATTCTATGAGCAGAGATACATGGGGAATAAAACTAATAATAATAATAATAAAAGTTTACATGGGGAATAAAACTAATAATTTAGACACTGTTAAAAAATAAAGTTAGCATTTACACAGCTCCTTAGATTATGCTAATACCTATTATGCAGATCATTCCTGCATCTACTGAATAAATTACCTTACTTAAATAAATAATTATTTGTGTGCTTTCCTGTTCATCAATGTCCACACCCTAGGTGAGTGAAAACAGACAGGGAGCAGACTGAGACAGCACGGTGAAGCAATTACAAATACTGTTTTTAATTCTTACCTCAGCCAAGTTACTCTGGTGTGTACCAAATGTCGGTTTGTTAGAACTCTCTTCTGTAAATAGTTCATTTTGATAAAGTGTTTAATTTACTCTGATTATAGATGACATTCGTGATTTTATTTTTAATCTTATGTTTTAGTTTGTTCTTTTATAGCAATGAAACTCATCCGCTCCATAAAGTGATCAGAAGTTTATATATAAATATTCCCAAATGGAGAATTGTTTTTTGCTGCATATAATCTATTTTATTTATTATTATTATTTTGAGAGTATTGAATAAGCCATCGCTTTCTATTGCTCCTAACAGATTCAATTCCTTTAAAACCACCTGTCAGCCACGTTGGTGATGTCACAGTTGTGTTACTAGCAATGGACACGCAAACGAGATCAGAAATCACAAATGGTTTAGGGTTAGCAAAATAATCTCTTCAAGTAGAAACTTACGCCTTTCTTTTCTATGATATTGGAAAAATACTATTGATGAATAAAAGCAATAGAATATACTGAAATAAATAATGTAATATTCAACCTGGAGACTTTATACATTATTTTTAATAAAGAATACATATGATCCGAACATTTAGAGCTGACTTGTTTCTCTATAGTTATTTAAATCTGCAGGAGTTTCTCTAGGAAACCAATACAGATTGGCAGTGGCACGGACATTGATTCCAGAAATATTCAATGTGGTAGGACATCAAGGAGCAGCCCTGTCCTATGGTACCCACGTCCCAGTCGATGTTAGTAGAAGACAACGTTTACGTTGTAGAGAACACTGTGGGCCGTACTCTGACACATCTTAAGTGTGCTTCTTGCTTGTGCTGCCTTTTAAGAACAAGTTTGGAAGTTGACAATTTGTCTAGACAACTTGTCATGTCTAGATTCACATTAGTCAAACTTCTTTGGTAAAAAGAGCATGTCTAATTTTTCTCTCTCACTTCTTTTTCAGGTTGATCTTTAGCTGTTGTGATTTCTCAACTTAGGGTTACCTGCTATCCTCTGAAACTCTCCCAGCCTCTCACCGGCGTGGTCAGTGGCACTGTGGCGAAAGGAAGGGAAGGGGAGGTGCACGGGCCTCAAGCACATCATGCGCTCCACGTCCTAACATTTCCTCCCCAGTAAAGCACAGCGTTCTTGAAGTTCCCTTGGGTATGCCAGTCATCTGCCTTTTTTGATTTCATGAAAAATGAATTGAGAAAATGCCTAAAGTGCAGTAAACCCTGGGGTTTAGTCATGAAACGTGACAGCTCTATGCATTGTCAAACAGATATCACAGCTCTCTCTGCTCCGTGGTGGTGAATTATCCCAAGGTTTTCGCCAGGATTAAAACAAAAAGAGAGGCGAGGAGTGGCGTTCTATAACTTTGTGGATTCACCAGACCACACTAACTGTGAAACTCTCAAGAAGCCTCTGGTTATCGGAGGTATTCCTAGAGGGTTAGGTTAATTGAACTTGATTCCCTGCTCTCAAAGTTCAAGTACATTCATCAGAACTGAAAATGTTGGAGTCTGGTCTTAGGACCAGTGTTAGTCTGCAGAGACCTTTAATGTGAACGCAATGCTATCGGGTTAGGAGGGAAATAAATACCTGACTGGCTTCACGTTTTCCAATTTATTGTTGAGCATCATTGAGCAGTAAGGAAATAAAAGATTCTGAAACAATTTTTATCCACATCCACGGGTAAGGCCTATATTTATTTAAGCTGATCATCCAGACTGCTCTATGATTTCTGTAAAGGGCACCATGAACAATTGCATAGAGCATCTTAATACATAATCGCCCTTGATTTCAGTCTGTGGTGTTTTACCATCTAACAAAAGGGAAAGACAAAGGACCACAACTTCTCCTGAATGATGATGTGCTAATGCATGCAAAACCAAGGATACTTTTTCGGAGACATTTGTGTGTACAGAATTCCGATTTGTCATCAATCAGATTTGGTTTGGGCTACATTTTCTCCTTGCTTAGAAAAGTATTGCTATATGACTAATAGAGCTTCACATGAAAAAAAATTACCAGTTAAGTGCTATAGGTAATTTTCAAGGAATTTTAGGAAGTTTTAGAAAAATTGGAAAGGGTTGTGAATAACAGCTTCACTGAGATGCTAAATAACTGCTGCGTGGTAGATACTATGCCATATGTAATATAGTTAGAAACCAGAAAGCCAAACTTACTGCCATTAGTCAATTCTAATAGTGACCCTAGGGTTTCCAAGGCCCTCCATGTTTATGGCAACAGAGACCCTCCACTTTCTCCCTCAGAGGTTTTGGTGGTTTCGAACCGCGGAACATTTAGTTAGCAGCCCACCAGGTATTCCACTATGCTACCAGGCTTCCTTGTAATGTGATCAAGGACAAGGAAACACATTGCTGTGCCCCTGAGCAGTGAAAATATTACAGGAATTCACACCGCTGTGGCATTTGTCCTGTAAGCCTAGCTTTTCATTTATTTCTTTTTATACTCACTTGTTTTTGTTGTTATTATTATTGATTCGGTGGAAGTTTACAAGGAAATTAGTTTTGCATTCAACAATATATTTACATTTCGTTTCATAACATGAGTTACAATTTCTTCAGGGAAGCGGCGCTCCTTCCACGTCACCCCTGCGTTCCTGTGCGTGCTTGCTTGCCCTGCTCTGATGCTTGCAGCCTTCGGAACTGAATTTTAAGGCAGATTCTGAACCTTGGGCCTCCTACAGTTAAATATTCTGAGCGGTGTGTTCTTCGCAGGTGTGATTATTCACGTTAAAGGCCTCTCTGGGCGTGTTGGCTGAAAGGCGACTTTGGAGGCAGTTAAGTTTCAGGTGTAAAGGATGCCTTAGGATCCCATGGGAGAACAAGGCTCTCTAACTTCTAAAAGTTGTCTTAGAAACTCACAGGCCAGTTCTACCCTGTCCTATAGGGTCATTGTGGGTCAGCATAAACTCATTGCAGTGGGTTTTGTAAGGATCTCAGTAGTGGGGGTTCCACTAATCTATTAATCTGGTTGTTTTTTTTTAAATTTTTAATTTTGTTTTACAACTTTCTCCTGTGCTGTTCAACACCTTCGGTGGTTTCATGAAAGAAAACGGTCATGTGGGCCCAGCATTATCCAGTTCTGGTCTTCGGGTGGTCAAGGTTATGTTTCATGTGGTCTGTTAGTCCTTTGGACTAATCATTCCCTGTGTCTTGGATTTCTCTAGGTGGGCGTTCACTAAGACCTCCATCGTGTCTCACCACAGTGGGATGTAGACTGTTGTCTTTGTGAACCGCGTTCTGCCTATTGCAGCCCGTCTCTCGACGTGGATTAAGACTGCCAGCTGACTTGCTGGGCATGGTTAGCAGTTCCTATGTCCACGTGGTTCACAGGGGCAGGGCGGAGAGCAGTGTCGGTACTGCCCACCGAGCGCGAATGGGAAGCAGTTTTCTCTGTCCTTTCCTTTTCTAGGCTTTCACTCTTCCAGGGCCATTCTCATTTTAATGTTTTGTTTTGTTTCATTGTAACATATCTTATAAAGCAGCACAACCTAAATAATGGGGAGAGAAAACTATTCTTTAGAAAATAAAATACTAAAAAAAAAAAAAAGGAAAGAAAAGAAAATACTGAAAGACAATGAGAGAAAACGTAAGTCCCTCTATTATACCATATACAAAATTGGGAGTCCAAATAGATGACGGTGGATTGAAAGGTAAAAGTAAGTCCAATAGAGGAAACTCTAGACTATGCCTGAGTGAGATGTAGGTGAAGAACAGCTTGGGATCTTAAATATGACATAAATATATACCATCTATTATATGAATAATGAGATTAATTATTAATATGATTGTATATTATATAAACATGTTATATAATAGCATATATACTTTATGTGTGAGTATATGCACACACTTATAGGTATACTCAAGTCCACTGCCACTGAGTTTCTTTGCTCTCGCTCTTGCTCATGTGTGCACCATCCTACTCTGTCCTATCAGGTCACTATGAGTTGGCAGTCAACTCAATGGCAGTGAGTTTGTAGTTTTTTTGTTATTTATATATATAGAGAGAAAGATGGAGAGAGAGAGAGAGATTCAAAATGAAGGTTTTATATTAAGTGAGCAACACCTTAAAGTTAATAGATTGGTGATGGACTTAATATTTTTATCTAAGCATAAAGACAATGTTATAGAGCTATGTCAAGAAACTGCAAATTAGCAAGCAAAAGGAAAGCCAGTATAAAAAGTAAGCAAGTGATAAACCTAGCATGTGCATAAGCCAAGTGCATCTTCTCACTGCCTTCACGTCGATTTCAGTTCATCGACATCCTGTAGTACAGAGTAGAATGTTACGATGGATTTCCGAGACTATAACTTTTTACAGGAATAGCAAGTCTCAACTTTATCCTGTCATGCTGGCGATTTGGGACAGCTTACCTTCGGGCTAGCAGCCTAACGCACGACCCACCATGCCGCCAAGCTTCCTCTGAGGTCACGTCGGACTCGGGCCCTATAGGAAGCTTGAACTTCCCTTGTGGGTTTCTGAAACTAACTTTTTATGGGAATAGAAACCCTCATCTTTTGCTCACTGAGTGGCTGCTGGTCTCTACCTGCTGACCTTGCCACTTGCTGACCTTGAGTTTAGCATGACCTTGACCTCTCCGCCTGTAACAACCCACTGCCCCAACTGGGCTGTTCAGGGAATGTACCTCGGTGGTAAAAATAGGAAGTGGTGCTCAGACTTTCTAGTAATTTGATAAATGTACGCAAAACAAGAGCCATCATATTATCCAAAAATGTAAAAAAGATGAATTCCAAGTGCTAAGGATAGGGGAACCGTCCTTCAGTGCCAGTGGAACTGTAAGTAATTCACCCATCTTGAAAACCGTCTGGAGATAGTTATTTAGTGACATTGATTCATTTTTGGCCCAGTCGCCCTGCAGTCACACTGGGAGATGCATATTTCAGAGAACTGTGGTTGCAGGCCTATTACTTCTGTTTGTGTTTGCAGGATGTTGGATATACAGCCTCCATCTCAAAGAAAGTGAATGAGTGAACACTCTTCGGTACATAGTATAGAAGACAATGCAGCCGTTAGAAACAACTGATTGGATGCTTGCAGCTTTTTGTTTTTAAGTCGCTGTGGAACCAACTGGGAGTCACGGTGACGGTATGTGTGTCAGACTAGGACTGTACTCTGCCGATTCTCAGTGGCGGATTTGGGGTGCAGTAAATTGCCAAGGGTCTTCCAAAGTGCCTTTGGGTGGCGTCAAGCCTTCAGTCCTTTAGTTAGCAGCTGAGTGTGCTGGGTCACGCTACCCGGAGATTAGGGATTTATGAGCAAAAAAAAAAAATACCTGTCACCAAATTGATGCCATATCATAGCAATATTGAAAGACAGAGTAGACCTGCCCCTGTGGGTTTCGGAGACGTTAGACCTTTTTGGAGCAGATAACCTCTTCTTTCCTGCCAAGCGACTGGCATGTTTGAACCTTGATCTTGCTATTAGCAGCCAAGGACTGGCATGTTTGAACCTTGATCTTGCTATTAGCAGCCAAGGGCATAGCCC